TCTCCACCCAGCCTGTCCTTGTGCTTGGGATTGCCCCAACCCAGGTGCAGGACCTTGCCCTTGGCCTTGTTGAACTCCATGAGGTTGGCAGTGGCCCACCTCTCCAGCCTGTCCAGGTCCCTCTGGATGGCATCCCTTCCCTGCAGCGTGTCGACTGCACCACACAGCTTGGTGTCATCAGCAAACTTGCTGAGGGTATACTCTCTCCCACCAGTTATCTTGAGGGATGTATTTTGACCTGTTTTATTAGAGGGGACTATGAGTGTCTGTACTTCTGAGGTTTTTCTTTTGACACGCAGTGGTAAAGGGGAAGTGCTGCCTTCAGAAAAGTAAAAGGTGGAGGGTTAAAACTGAGAAACTTTGTGTCTGGTTTCTCAAACAGGTTTGATTTGAATGCTGGGTTTCTTTCTGTTCATAGCAGTCTTCAGTCCTTTAAATGTCGAGATGAAAGACTGTCTTGAGTCGAATAAAAATACCCCTCCGTATTTGTGTTGAGTCTTCCAGGGTTTTTAATGTGTTTGATGCTGTGGTGTGGGCTATTACCTTGATTCCTGTTGGAATAAGTACGTTCAGAGTTGATACATCCTGAATGCACTTAAATTTCCTGTAAAGATAACTTTGAACCCATTACATTTTTCTTTGACTGTTGCTTCTTTGAAATAACTCATCAAATTCATGTCTTCCAATTTGATACAGTGAATCAAAGTATTGTGACTAGGATTACCCTTACAAAATGTACAGGCGGGATTTTGTGCGCAGTGTTTAGTACGTGAGGTGTTCTGCTGCCCAGTGTCTTGAACTGAAGTTTTTGTGGTTAGCTTGACCCTGTCTTCATTGTTGTTTCTACTGTAGAAAATGACTGATCAGTCTTCTGTAGCTGGTAGTTTACTTGCAAAATAGAGCCACAATTATTACTGATGTATTAATTAATTGAAGTGTGCAGTAGGGAATAATTGTGCAGTTTTGAAAGGCTCATATACTAAACATGCTTTTTATATTGAGTAAATTCTTTCAGGTTTTTAAGGCTCAGATCTGAGGTTTGTGTATGGCATGTGGTCCTACATTTACTTTCTTTTCCACACAGATAGTTGAGCTCTTAAAAAAAAAAAAAAAAAAAAGTATTCAGGGGGTTTCAAGGCAATGTTGAGAAAGTGTAACAGGAAAATGTGAAATTTATTATCAAATACACGTACTTTTTTGTGTGAAAATATTTGTGAATTATATCCTCTTAATTAATCTGAAGTGAATATTAAATGTTGGTTTTTACCACAAAAGTAGTAAAGTCATTGCTAATAATCCACTGAGATTTCTTAATTAGATAAAGGTCGTATGTAAATGAAATGCAAATGGACCTGTTTAGCTTCAGCATCAAACGGTACAACATGTGGCATACTGGACATAACTTGTGATAGAGGAAGTTGCAATTCAGTATGGTGTCTTCTCATCTTGCTCTGTCCACTGTGGTCCCTGTCAGCATAGTCTGTTGCTTTTTTTTCCTTTCCAGTCCCAGTATCTTTTTCAGGTTTTGACACGTTGGTTATTTTTACTTTCCTTAGTTTTTCAGTCTTAAACCTTATGTTGACAGTGCATAACTGGTGTCGTTAGATGCCTTGTGAACAACAAGTGGTGGGAAAGCTAAGGATTTGGGTAGTCATGTGGCAGATAGCATGTGTGTGGGAGAGTGGTACTGTTTGTTTTGTTTAATCCGTCAAAGCTTAGATTGGCCTTTTTGTTATCAACAAAAAATTGAAAATGTGATTTGTTAACAGATAGTTCTGTGCCTGAAAAGGAAATGGCAGAACAGGTCTGTAGATGCATCTGACTCTGCATATGGCTCTGCATATCTTAGAGACTGAGGAGGGCATTCTATTAATTTTTGTCTTTGTAAAGGAGAGGTTTGTAGATATGTGAAATGGGAAAATGCTGTTCCCTGACTTGCTGTTTCCTCTGTGTATGTTTGTGTGTGTTGGGAGAGAGGAGGATACTTGCTGTACATAATGTTTGCAGCTTGAGCGCCGGGACATGTTTTAAATTTCACTGTTGTTTCATATTATATATGCTAATGGAGTGTCAGAGTATTGCTCAGAGAAATTATTTTTAAAAAAATTTCAGTTAGATATTTATATTCTTGAAATACTCTTTTGGCCAAGAAAATGTATATCAGTTGTAGTTCTTCAGGTATTTGATTCATTTATAAAGTGCTACTGAAAGGATTAGCTATTGTTAGCTTATTGTATAATTTTTTTGAAAATATTGATTTCTGAATTGCAAATGCTGAATGTGAAGTACTGTGAGAAATCCTATTTTAATTGAGTTTCAATCCAAGTGTGACCTTTTGGTGATAGATCTTACTGGACATTTGATTGGAATTCACTTTTTTCCTACTTACAAAAATACCTTTTTCCCCCTCTCCTCAGAATCAACGAATCCCATCTGACATGGTGTTTCTCAGAACGTCGGAAAAAAATGGTATGTTTCGATAATTCAGATTTGTTATGTGATACGTTTGTGGTTACGGGAAAGTATGAGATTGTTCATTGTGGCCAATTTGAAGTGGTCAGATTGATGGTAGATCTGCCTTCATCAGATAAAGGGGAGAGGCTCCATATCCTACAAATACAGTATAGACTGTGAAACAGGAGAAATCTTGCTGTGAACATGAGACCTTTATAGGTATGTTCCTCTGAGTACATGGATTTTATGAATTGTTACAACAGTGCTCAGGTAAAGCAAATATTAATACTACTTTATATTGAAAAGACTCTACTTGCTTAATAGGACTTGACAATATTTTAAAGGATTTCTGATTACTCATTATCTTGCAACACACACTTCAGTGTCATCTGATAGTATTACAGTCATTGGATTGAGAAGAACTGAAATCTGAATCTACTGCTTTGTGGTTACTTTTTTTTTTTTTTTTTAAATCTGTTACAATGATCTAGAAATCTGAAATAACTGAACTGTGCCCAGATGGCCAAGAAGGCCAGTGGCATCCTGGCTTGTATCAGTGTGGCCAGCAGGACTAACGGAGTGATTGTGGCCCTGTACTCAGCACTGGTGAGGCTGCACCTCAAATACTGTGTTCATTTTGGGCCCCTTGCTAGAAGAAACTCATTGAGGTGCTGGAGCATCTCAAGAGCACCAGGCTGTCTTGATTAAAGTTTAGAAATTACTATTGGATGCCCACCATATAACTCATTTGGCTTTCCCTTCTTTGCAGTTTCTCTTTAGATCCTGAAGCACCGTCTGATTTTTGTCAGACAGCACTGAATTTCACAAGGCTAATAGCTGTGATATTGGTAAACCCCATGTTATTGGCACTTGATTTCACTGTGGCACTGGAGTTCTATCATATATTTAAGATAAAAGACTAAATTTGTAGAGATCATTTGGAATAGAAGACAAAAATATTGCTGATAGCCTATAGAACACTACTAGAGCTATATATTTGCTAAAAGAAGTTGTTACTGTGTGTTGCTAGTGGCTTTTTTGATTAGATGTACTAGATCATCTATAACTGTTTTGGACTGAAAGGCTTTCCTAGTAGTCTCCATCTTGGTTAGCCACCCTCTGGCTCAGGATATATGAGCTTTGTTTTATTCCCTCCCAGAGTGCCATGTTTCATTAAAATGCATAATGCTTTTGACAACTCAGATCTCTTGGATCCAGCGTGATTATGAAAGGATTGATAATGTTTCTTTTTGGGCTGCTGACAATGTCATCTTTTCCTACTGACCCAAAAACTCTTTCAGCTAAAATCACAGCTCCTGGAAAAGTAGAAATTAGGAGGGCTTCTGCACCTGTAGAAGAATTATTCTTAAACTAGGCCACTTGCATGCAGTGTGTAAGTGGTAGGAGGTCAGTGTGTGTGGATCCAAAATTTTCATAGCCTTTACTAGCTGTGTTGGATTAGCAGTTACGTATCCAGATATTTGGAAGCAGTCATCATCCACTCCAGCGGGGCTGTGTATCAGCTGTGATTTCTTTAAGTGGTGGGTGCACAGTAGAATTGTGTAGCGGACTCAGTATGTAACGTTGTGCAGTGTTTGCTGTGGTAGGACTCTCAGGAACTGTTCATCTGGTGAGTTAGCTTCCTTCCTTAATTGGGATCCTTGCAGCAGTTTACATCAGATGTGTTGTCACTGCTGGAATAAATGAACAAGCACAAGATGAGACAGTTGCTTAGCATGCAAAAAAAGTAGTTCTTAAATGATGTATTTTGCATATCTGCACTAGAGCATGTTTTCCTCCTTGACAATTCTTAAATTCCTGGATTCTCTTTACCAGGCTATAAGACACTGTGTAGTCTCCCTTCTCTGTAGTAGTTAATTGAAGGATGGGGCACAGCTGAGGTTGTTAATGAACAATACAGGCTAGAAATGCATCTGCATAGGGTATGATACCTCTGTGTCTTAATTGGAATATATATGAATAGTAAATCTTGAAGGACCACATTTAATATAAGCTGAACTGCCTCTTTGTCAAGATATAGATGGGAAGGGGGGAACAGGGTGAGTGCCCTTGTCAGAAATGTGTCAAGAAAAACATTTTTGAAAGTAAAATTCAAGTCTACTTCACTGTTTAGTGTTTAAGTCTACTTCAGTCAGCTTTCTTAGAATGTCATAATTAAAATTTTCCTGTGAGAAGCTCCATTAATTTGCTATCTAGAAAAAACTACTTTAAAAATAAGTTTATCATGTTGAATAATACTTTCCATAATTGATATTTTAAAAAAAGCTTGTGGGCACTTTGGAAGAGTTGTGTACCTACTGTGTGTACCTACTGTGTCAATGTTCATTATAATGTAAAGTGAGTAAAAAGCAAATTGATTGAAATCTTCCCAGAATTCTGATATTATTTTACACAAATTCTGCTACATGTGGAATATGATTTTTAACATTTAAGATACACTTCCTATAAGCACACAACAGGTTAACTAATTACACTGGTGTTGCACTTCTTCAAAACCAAACCAAATTAACAAAATAACACACAAAAAAATAATCCCCTGAACTTCAAGCATATGGCAGTAATTGTGTTTTGACTAAAGAGTGAACACTTACATCTGTAATTGTTTCTCCCTGGATGTTGCAGTTTTGAGTGATTTATGGTTTAATTTATAGTTGACACTTTTAAGTACTTTGTAAAACACATTAGTTTTTGCATAGTTTTATGTCCTACATGTAATTTTATTTTATCTTCTGTGCAATAAAACAGTTTAACTATAACTTGTTGCTATAAATCTATAAAGAGTAAAGTGAAGAGTTTGAATGAATCTTAAACTCCAGCCCACGCTCTAAACTTTTGGGGGAAAGTACTATTTTTCCAACTTCAATATTTACATATTAATGTAGTCTGCAGCACTGCAATTTCCTGTATCTTCAGTCAGAAAGGAAGCAGTTTGAGTTATAAATGGGTAGCTTACGAAGTTCAACCGAATACTATTCTGGCTTCTTTTCCCACAAGAGTGGTGCCCGCTCCCCCCCCACCCCCATGCTCTTCTAGCCATGTTGAGTTTTTAGGATACTTCTAACTCTACATAGCAGAAATTAGATTTCAGGGAATCAAGCTTATTTTGATAAAACGTACTAGATGCCTCTTTTTTTTTTTTTTTTTTACTTTATCACATGTATCGTATTTTAGCTAGAATGATACCTTAATATATAGTCTGATATAATGACTTGATGGTAATTGTGTGCATATATCCCATTTCTAAGATTGCTGTGAGCCTTTTAATCAGGCTTTTAAAAATTTTAGTCTAAGGACTACTATAGATGGGTCTTTGTTTTGTATTCGTTTGACAGTTTGTAACATTGGTATTCCTCTTTCTCATGAATGGAGGCAGCTAGATGGCTGGCCGAGTTCAGAGGTAGGATTACTTCCTGTGGGGATGGAGCAGGTGGAAATCACTCTTCAGATATGAATTCTTTGCTGCTCTCACGCTCCCCACATAACAGAGACTTCCACAGGATCTTTGTTGGCTTCCAAAATAAATTTAAAAAAAAAAAGGAAAAAAGTAACAGCAAAAAACTCTGGAATAATATCTTGGGTTTTCATACATATAGAAGGGGGGCAAGGTTAAGGCTGAATCTTGGTGTTGGTCATTATTTATGGCAGAGATGACAAGCAATTTGGAAGATTTGTCTCATTTATCAGGCTTCTACTGGATTAAAGGAAACGCTCATGCAGAGCTCACTACAAAAGATGGTTTAAAGGTTATTTTCATTTGGTGTATAAGCAGGCATCCTGCCAAAACCTACTGGCTACCGTAAGTGGAAATCTGTTACACCAATGTAGGCAAGATCTGTGTTGCACCAATGGAAATCTCCCTCGCTGAAATTAAGCTAGATCCTAAGTGGCATTTAACATAGTTTTCAGGTTCTTTTTAAAATTGCTTGGCATGCTTTGTTTTATTTGTCCATATGCCATCTCAGTCAGTCAAAAGCTAGACAGGGCATTCCAGACATCGTTGTGTAACTTTGCTTGCACAAACTGCCAATGGAAGAAGGTATTCATGACTTCAGCATTATGGGAGTATTATCAAAGATACTGCATAAAAAAGAAAAATGCTTTTCTTCTCTAAGCTAAAAACCTTGTCCTCCACCTTGGCTGTGCCTTGTGTTGGTACCTTGACGAACTGCAAGCCTGTCAGTCTGAACTTGGTAGTGGAGAAGGTTGTGGAGCAGATCATCTTGAGTGCCTTCACACAGCATGTACAGAACAACCAGGTGATCAGGCCTAGTCAGAGTGGGTTTATGAAAGGCAGGTCCTGCTTGACTAACCTGATCTCCTTCTATGGCAAGTTGAGCCACGCAGTGGACGAGGAAAAGGCTGTGGATTTTGTCTATCTGGACTTTAGTAAAGCCTTTGACACCATTTCCCACACCATTCTCTTGTACAAACTTGTTGCTCATGGCTTGGACAGGCGTATTCTTCACTGGGTAAAAAACTAGCTGGATGGCTGGGCCCAAAGATTGGTGGTGAATGGAGTTAAACCCAGTTGGTGGCCAGTCACAAGTGGGGTTCCCCAGGACTCAGTGTTTGTGACAGTTCTCTTTAATATCTTTATCAATGACCTGGACCGGGGTATCAAGTGCACTCTTCGTAAGTTTACAAACGGTACCAAGTTGGGCGGGAGTGTTGATCTGCTTGAGGGTGGGAAGGTTCTACAGAGGGACCTGGACAGGCTGGATCCAGTGGACAGAGGCTAATTGTATGAGGTTCAGCAAGGCCAAGTGCTGGGTCCTCCTCTTGGGTCACAACAACCACATGCAGTGCTACAGGCTTTGGGACGAGTGGCTGGAAAAAGACCTGGGGGTGTTGGTCAACAGGCAGGTGAACATGAGCCAGCAGTGTGCCCAATTGCATCCTGGCTTGTGTCTCAAATAGCGTGACCAGCAGGACCAGGGAAGTGATTGTACCTTTGTACTCAGCACTGGTGAGGCTGCACCTTGAATACTGTGTTC